ATATATATATATATATATATATATATATATAAGTCAGAGTGTTTTATATATAGGGGCATTCTTGATCGACAAGTGTGGAAGTGAGGCCGCTTCCGATGACATAGGACTCATATCTAGAGTACTTATGAAATTGGGATATAAGCATAAGACCCAAAATATGCTGGCAGCTAAAGAGAGACCAGAGTTGAATATTGTTTGTGAGCTATACTACCGGTATGTTAGATAAGCAACCTGGTTCAAAGCTATACGCCACCATGGTACTTGATGGACTTTGTAGTGTACACTCTAAGTGAAAGTTCAAATCGAAAGATACTTTCATGGTGTGCAGATAATATGTTTCCTATGTTTTGTCTTGTTATTTTAAAATAGTGGAGGAAATTGTAAGTATTTTTTGTTTGAAAACTACTTATATCTATTTCAAAACAACACTATGGTATATTATTCTTTCCTAAATTGCTTTGTAGAGAAAGAAAGATGTGGGTTTGAGTCCCACATTGAAGAGGAGAGAGTTTATTGAGCCATATTTAAGAGCACACATTCTCATGAAATATACTCTAAGTACAAAGGAGAGAGAAGATGCGTGCGGAGCATGTGTACGTGTGCGTGTGTGAGGGCGTGGGCGCACGTGCACTTCGCTTGCATCGGCGCATGAGGCGCCTCTCGCCTGAGCACGTGTGCAGGTCAGGCTCATGACTCATTATCTTTTTATGAGCGCGGCTTATAGAGGAATCCGATGGTCTTCTAGCCGTCGAAGAGTGTCGGTTAGCTAGCCGTTGAAGAGTATCGGTTAGTTAGCTGTCGAAGTGTATGGGACATCCAATGAGCATTTAGCCATTGACGAGTGTGGGACACCCAACGAACATGCAGCCGTCGAAGAGTGTCAGTAATGTAACCGCCAAAGAGTGGGACATCCAACGGGTATCCAGCCGTTGATGAGATGGAGGCTTGTAACAATAGCATTCAAGTGCACTTGCAGCTGTTGGGGTACACGTAACTCATATAACTTGTAGTTGTTGGGTGATGCATGTAACCACCACAACACTAAATGAGCAGCCTCTTGGTGCTCCATAGCAAGGCCTCTCCTACACATACTAGATATGACTTTTCTACACTTTAAGAATAATTTTGTAGCTTCTCTCAAGAGACCATTCTTTGCAATTTCAGCAAGCAAACCAGTGGCTAATTCTCTATCTCTCTCTACTAGATTTTATCTATTTCTCTCTCTAAACTATCAAGACTCTGGTGTCTATTGTGTGGGTTTCAAGCTCGGGTGCATAGAGCTTAGGAACAAAGAAAAAGACATCTCTGTTTTCCTGTATCCCGAGGATAAATTGCCATTTTTATGCACAACAAATACTACATCAAAGGGGGCCAAATATCGTATTGAGATAGCGCTCCTGCGTGCCCAAAAACAAGAAGAGTCTGAGTTCCATATTTCGCAAATTTTATAATTTTCTGCCCTCATTTCACCCAAACAATTTTCAACAGTTTTGATGCCCAAAAATCTTCAAATCAATCATCTCGACCTCAAGATATATGGATATGAGAAAAAATAGATTTCAAGTCCTGAAAATAGGGCATCTTATAATGTATTATTATTTTTTTGGAACATTAACACATGATCTTGTAATGCATTTTTTGGACCATCAATTTTCAAGATTTTCAAGCGTTTATAGATCTGCTTGATCTACACTATTTTTGGACCTTTCAATTTTATAATTAGAGAGAAACATAAATTTTCAGACTATCACAAAGATTTCCAATACTAAAGCAACATCTTTCGATGCAATTTGAAGGTGCACCTTGCTTTGGTGGTTTAAGGCCTCAACCTTAGACAAACCACACCCATATGGATAATTAACTCTGTGTTAAAAACCCAATCCAATTTTTTCTTCTTTTTTTTAATAATTGTATGCTAATTCTTAATTGAATCCAAAAAACTCCATCTAAATAGTTTTTTACCAGGAGCAAGCATAAAATGTGCTGCCGTGAGAACATGACATGTGTCACAAAAATAAGAACATATGCATCACGGAGAGGCTGAAGAGCATCTACATGCACACACAGTGTATGAGAGAGAGAAAGCACATCTTCATGGGTATATAAAATGTTTATGAGAGAGAGAGAGAGAGCACATATTCATGTGTATATAAAATGTTCATTTCGTCAATAAAGATGGTATATTTCAAACTTGGACAAAAAGCGTTGGGCTTGCACCCCCACCAGAAGTACATCCCCTCACCAAACCTATTCTTATTCTTATCAATCACCCTCATATCTCACCCCCAAGTCCTTATCCTAAGTGTCACGACAATAACAAATGCGAAAAGATTTCTAACTCCCACGGGAGTATACTATCTAGTTACTCCCTCATGTATGACAAGTGCCCGCTTTTGCATCTCAAATTTTGAGGGTGAATCTCTATAGCCCATAAATTAATCTCAATAAATTTTTTTTTTGAAATAAATTCTATATGTGAAAAAAAAAACTCAAATTGAATAAAGACCATCCAATTTTTGTAGAATTAGATCTAAGAGTCACAAAACTCAAAATTCAAGTTGTTCTTTTAAATTATCATTTAATAATTCATTTGTGGTTCCTAAATTTTAAACTACAATAATCTTTCTAAATATGTGTTTTCTATGAGGGAGTGGACATATACTATGCTCCCGCAGGAGCATAGTATGCATGCTCCAAACAATTTGTTCGTTAGTGTAAGGTCCTTATCAAGCAGGCATCCATCCTTGTACAGGGATCACATGGGCTCCACGCTTACTCATTTGGTCCTCCTTAATAAGAGACCATGAGCCCATTCTACTTTTCCTTAAACCTCATAAAACTTTAACAATGAAGTGTCATGGATCCACAAATCTAAAAGGGAAACTCCTTTATTATTGGGTGTATGTGTATGGGGGAAATTGTGGCCCCAAAAAATTTAAAAAGAAATAAATAATGTTTCTCGAAAGGAAAAAGTATTTGGTGAGACGGCCGACACACCTATTGTCATGATGTCTCCCTTCGAAATTTATCTCAAAGATGAATTGTTTTCGATTCAAAATTTTAGGGTTCGGTAGTCTCAATCATAACAATGATCTAAATTTAGAAATTTCCATTTTTAAGTATTATAAATAATGTTTTTTGAATTCTATCTCAAAGATGCACACAAGTCTCAATTTCTTACAAAAAGAGCCTTGGCGTCTCATTGTCCAATGCACTTTTTTAGAGTCTGTTTTTTTAAACAACTAATATTACAGTTCGCGTTTAGATGGAAGAGTCCATGAGCTTGACGTTCTATCGCTTTTCTACAATCAATGATTAAGGGCACTTTTCTTTTGTCAGATTGCTTTTTATTATATATGTTTTAAAAAATTAGGCAATTTACGTTCTTTAGCAACATAACATAAGTGCCCTTGGGTCTAACGGGATATGAGCTGGAAGCGGGCTTAATCGATAAATCGGTCAATTTAATCGGTCTAACCGGTCCTAGATGGTACAAAAAAATGTTTATATATATATATATATATATATATATATATATATATATATAACTAAATAAATAAATAAAGTAAT